GAGAGAGAGAGAGAGAGATTATGATGTGTGAGTGGAAATGAACTTGTGTATAGTCAGGAAACACTGTCTATAATGCTAAGATGATTGGGGTATTATTAGAGATGACAAGATAAGACAGAGAGATAATTCTATTACTAACATGAGGGGAGGCCTTTTATAAAACTATAAGAATGTCCAGAGAATATCAATAGATGCATCATTTATGCGGTGATTCAATCATGATTAATAGTAAAGGGAGAGGCTGATGAATGCCTAAGAAAACTTTGTTAGAAATAATACAAAAGAAATCTGATAGCCCTTAGTTTGACAGGTGAAACCATGCAATTTTCATCAAGACATTCTCATGATTGGTGAGATCTTCTCTAACTTCTTGATTGCTTTAATCAAGTATCTCATGTTATTAACCTTCATAGAGCCATCACATGCTTAATTATAATATAATTTTGGACAATACTAGATGCATGCATCAATTATTGCATGTCATTCCATAAAGATGTTAGCCACTGGAATAGAGATCATAGCCAATAGAGTACATTATGCCATCAGATTACAGATATTACCCATTTGGTGATGCCCAATTTCAGTTAAAATTAAATTATAAGCTATTTATATATAGCTTGAAGAGTTGTTAATCAAGAAAAGCGTGCTTGCTAGTTTAACTTAATGAGTCAAATCATCGACTCATTAATTTTATACAAATTTGATTACAGATCAACAGAAAAAGAATAATAAAGAAACTATGATGGCTAGATACAATTACTAAGTGATCCCTAGTAGGTGCTAGATAATTACAAAAAAACAAGGAGCCAGATAAGATGATGCAAAAAATTCTATAAAATAGTAACTGTGCATAAAAATGAGGTTTCATTTTCAAAATATGATGTGAAATTTTGATATCCTATAAAATTGCAAATGTCCTTTCTAGACTGCTATACTGGATAACCAATAATGAGGTGCCAGAAAGTGCACAAATCAGCATTTAATAAATACACAAGAATACGATGATAATTCCTAATTTTAAAACATGAAACAGGTCAATCATCAGATATCATTAACCCTTATTACCAGAATCAAGATTCTTTGTCTCAGGATTTCTTTACATAACATAATGTAGCAGATAAAAATATATTATGATGCTTTTTTATCGACTTATAATTCAGAGTCACTCACAGTAATTCAGTCAACATAGACTTTGGCATGGAAAAAATGATATGGTTTTCTATATGCTATAACTTCACCTATCAAGTATTTTAAGACCACCAATTTTGAACTCGGCTGATGCACTAAGAGGAAACCACAAGGCAGTTGGCTTTTACATCTACAGCTACTGACCAAATATCGAAAGGCAACATACTAGCAATCATACAAAAATTCAATTGGCAAGCACAAAAATTATACTGGAACAACCATGAAAAACAGAATAAAATTATATTCCACATACAGATATGGAGTACAAAGAATGATCACTCACCAATATTTGATCATGCCATCCCATCCGCAAGTTGCAACCTTGCTCTGCTCCAATGGATGCCACTCACATCCAATGCACACTCCTTCATGACATTTCAACGTCCTAAAGACCTTGCAACTCTTCCAGTCCCAAAACCAACACTTCCCTTCTCCATCTCCTGAGATAACAAAACGTCCATCCGGAGAAAAATTCACCTGACAAGCATACCCTGCTGCAATGTGGCCTGCAAATCTCTTCTTCTTATTCAGCTGAAACCTCTCCTTCGTACTGTATATAAGTATCTGATTATCCAAGCTCTGAGCAGCCAACCAATTTGAATTAGGATGAAGCGAGATTGAAGGCATGGAATGCATGTGAGGCTCACTGATGTACTTTATAACAACTGGAATCCCAAACTCCCATACCCGAAGTGACTTATCATCACTAGAAGTAACAAACCTTCGATTATTATCAACAAAAGTGATGGTATTAACTGCTCCTAGATGTTGATCATACTCTTGTGTGATTGTACCCGAATTCATGTCCCACTGTACAATCTTCTTGTCACTCATTCCTGCAAGAAGAATGTTCTGTTTGTCTTCATCTGGATTAAGCTTCACTACGTAGGGAACCTTCCCAGTGGAGAAGGTGGAGATGACCTTCCCCGTCTCAGTGTCCCAATATTTGATGTTCTTGTCATACCCAGCACTCAAGAACTTGGTACCATCAATTGAAAAGGAGATGTCGCGAACCGCCTTCGAGTGGCCCATGTATGTCCGCATGCACTTACCAGAATTGAACACATCCCATATCTTGACCTTCGAGTCCATACCAGCCGAGAGTAGAAGGTGGCCATGCTTCGGAAAGAATCGTATTGCCGCGACACCCTTGGTGTGGCCGCTCCATGTATGAACCCAACGTTTTGGGATGTAGCAGTGGTCGTTCTTAGGCTTCGCATCCTTGGGCGGCTCGATCCATGAACGACCCTGGTAGTCACGCTCCTCCTTCCCGTGGAATGTGCTCTTGTCTGAATGCTCTGCTTTATTTCCAGCCCGCCCTTCTCCTCGCTCCTTCTCGGCCTTCTTCTCCGCGTGCTCCTCGGCGTACTTCTTCTGCTCCTCCGTGAGCTCGCCCTGGACGACCTCGTTCTTCCCGGACCACGGGCTTTTTCGATTCTTGAGGAGCCACTCGTCAGACGAGGGGTTCTCAACCTCAGGCCCTGCTGCGGAAGGGTCAGCTTCTTCGGCGTCGGGCGCTTTCATCTGGAGGCGCCGCCGTTTCTGTTCCTGCTGGGGCATGTTGTAGACGGAGAGGGCCTGGTTCTTGGTTAGGGTTTCGAGGTCGCCGACGTAGGAGAGGCCGGAGGGGTCCGTGGCGTAGCCGTACTTGTGGAAGGTGTTGTACTGCTCGTCGAAGAGGAAAGGCTGGATGGCGGCGTCCTCCACGAAGCCGAGCTTGTGATTGCGCATGCCCTGGGCGACGCCGTCCTTGGCGAAGGGGTGGGCGGGGCCGTGGATGGGCGCCCAGAGCTGATCGTAGGTGGGGTTGAAGGCCACCGCATGCTGCGCCGGATCGAGGGGTCGGTGGATGGCGCGGGCCGATTCGGCAGCGGCAAGGGCCAGGGTGGTGTCGTCCACGCGGGGGGCGGAGGACTTCGCTGGCAGGCGCGGAGGGGAAGAGTCCGGCGACGAAGAGCCCTCCGCCTCCCCCTCCCCCTCCGTCGCTGCGGCGGATTCCAAACTCTCTCCTTCTCCTCCTCCTCCTCGTGACATCTCTTCGGGTCCGTCGTTGTCGTCGTCGCCTTCTGTGTAGCCTCGTAGGAGATCCATGGTGGAAACCCTAGAGACGGTGACGGTGACCGCGAGAGGAAGAGAGCAACGGCAAAACAGCAAATCTAAAAGAGAAGAAATAGGCCCGTGTTGGTCGAGCCGTGGTTCGAATTCACGCCGAACCGGTCAAGAAAACCGAACCGTTTCCCAATTCCGGACCGATTCGAATCGTCTCATAGACCGGTTAACTCAATTTGGGCCCATTTTTGCATAAATGACATTAAGAATTTTTCGTCGCAAGTGAAAAGTAGTTTTCAATAATTCTATTTACATAAAACAGAGATAAATTGTTATTTGGAAAAGAAATTTTATGGGTGTGCTTAACATGCAAAAAAAAAAAGAAGAAGAAAATTCTGATATATCTTAAAAATTATCCAAAGAACTTTCTTGGAATTTTTTGTTTTATAAAGAAAAAATGAAACAATAGAAATTCAACTTTTTTCTCAAAATTGAAGGTTCTAAAGGATTAAATACATGTACAAGCAAAGTGGAGACTGATTAACAAAATCAAGAAAGCAAATAAAATTAATAAATTCCAATTTTTGTTACATTTAAATTGTCCAGATCCGAATTTACTGTAAGATTTGAGTTTGGAGTTCGGAAAAATCAAACAAGAACCAGATGTTAGATTAGATACATCAAATGTTTCATCTTCATAGAATGCAACATATAAAATTCCACAACTTGTGTATAAAAAGCAGCAAAAATATACAACATTTTCATGCCATATCTTATTTTCTTATCCTTCCTTTTTCCTTGGTTGTTACTTATTTCCAAAATGATAAACTCTTTCCTAAGCCAAACAGAAGAAATAGATCATGACTCTTACAATCATTCAGATACATAAAGAACAGAACAAATTTTGCATGAATGATTGATGTAGTAGGATGATAAGTGAAGTTATCAAAACAAGGCCAAGCTTGAAGAACATTCAAGCATCCACAGGAGCTAAAACGCAGTATGCATTCACCAGTAAATTAAGGACTATGAAGACATAGTCCAACTAAAATACAAATGTATCCATAAAGTTCCTTATTGTAACTATTCCAATAAAAACATCTGCAACTGTTACAATTGGAGTGTATTTGATAATGCATATGATCATAGCTTCATCCAGAACAGTCTTGTTCACTTAATTCTACCTTGTACATCATATTTAGTCTTGAAGGGGAAAAAAAAACAAAGAAACTAACTGCAAAATCACTTGACAAATCGATAGTTCAAGGATCGTCAAAGATAGCTGCTGAGTTCAATTCATAAGGCTACAGATTGGAATAAAAAGTAAGACCAAAAGAAAGCTGAACCACTACTGATTCACAACCTCAACCACCGTGGATGTTTGGAAAACAGATCATAAATCCTCCGCTGCATGAGCACCTACAGAAACCAGCAGAAAAGGAACAATAAGAAAGTGAAAGAAAAACAAGCTATAGGCCAAAAAAGTAAAAGAAAAAAGATAGAGGAAGAGAAATCTGAACATGAGTATCACAAGAGCAACATGATATGAACACCTTCTGTAAGTGAACAAAATAAGCACAATTCTATGTTTTGTCGGGACTAGTACATAGTCAGGTCGGCGGCACAAGTCACGGCATGTGCCTTCCAACACCGTATATACACTGAAAGAAGATTCCATAGCCTGTGCCTACACCATGTGTTGCTACGGTTCATACCAATCCAGCTGAGGATCGGCACAGGTTGGGTATCCAAAATGTCAAACCATGAAAATAAGTATTAATTCAACACAAACAATATGTTTCCACTAAAACTGCAGGAAGTAAGACACACGTTCTTGAATGCCATACATATTAAGCATTTTACTAAGGTTTTCATTTCCATATCCAATGCAAAACAACAAGAACTATAAAGAAACTAGAACTCCAAGGTAGATATAGTGACAACACAAGAACTAATTCAAAGTCTTCACCAGATACAGAAATGTGAAAGAATATGACATTTAAGTTTGCTGTATAAGCACTCCAAGCCACACAATTTTCACAAAACTAACTCTGCAATGTTTAAAAATCCAAGTCATTGCAGAAAGCATGAAAACCACATGCTTATCATCAAAATAATATGTTCTGTTGCCTAAACGTATAAATACAATAGTTTTTTGGATCACTAAGGGCTCTTTGCAAATTACCATTTTGACATGTCCAACCCATCAATAGCTAATTTTTTTATAAAACCAACCAGTTGCATGACCATGTTATGTTTCCCTCTGAAACAGCCAAAAACTCTAATTGCCAACGGTTCACATTTTGCGCATCTAATAATGTTAACATAAGAAAGATTCTTCAACAAGAAGTCAACACAAAGTTGACAGCAATATGAGTACCAACATATAATTTTTCTTTGTGTATCTTGCAACTAGAGTCCAGTATACAATGTCTAATAATACACTAGCACAAAACAAAGTAGTTCCTGATGGTGTTCAGGCAACGCAATAGAAAGTTCAAAATGTTTCTTAATTTCTAATGCATGTAGTCTATGGTGATTGAATTGATATCTTTTCAGCTACAGAATTATTCTATGGTTTTGGACTCGATTTAGTCTATAACTTGTTACTTATCAGAAGAAAGGGAACAGTGACTATCAACTTTTAAAGAATAATCTTGGAAAACTAGCTGATATATCAACTTGATATGTTTCACATGGAGATGATATCAAAAGAAAATTCAAATATTTTTGTAGATTATTATTCAATCATGTTTCATCAAATTGGCAAATTTTCTGTATTAGTTCCATGATTAGTTCATTGTGCAATAAACATAACTAAAATCACCAAGAAAGTCCAATCTAATACAAGGTCCACATCATTTTCATCCTAGGTTATATCCAGTGAGCTTGGCATCTCCTCTTCCACGGTCTTCGGCCCATATGTATTCAGTTGCACTTTGAACTGCGTAGTGATAGGAGATTGTATTGGTGCAAGCAGGGCATTTTATCCAGGAGCCCATTTGCAGCATAGCTGCACAAGATTCACTATTTATGCAAACCATGTCGCTTGGTTTTTAAGGATTAACAATTACACTTCAACAATAAGCCTTAGACTTAAAAACTAAAATCGTAGTTAAGCGCAAGGCCATTTGAGTGAAAAAAACTAATCAGAGATCTAGACACCATATCAAATACATTTGAACTCTAGGCAAACATATCTTCAAACATGGATATATTTCCACCAACAGCATCGGAAAATGAGTAATGGCGCTCAGGCAACCTTCAGCCTATTCCCATCTTAACAATGTATTGTTTAAGCGACCAAATATAGATGTAATAGTAGTGAAATGTTTTCCTTTTTTCAAGGTCATGTCAATTTTTCCGCTCTCCTCAACTTCTCCCCTCCTCTTCTTCTTCCCCTGCTATGGCTACCATTCATGTCAAGTGTCTGACTCCTTTTGCCCATCCTCCCTTCCATTGTTCCCTTCTCTTATCTCTCTCCTATTGTACTCTAAATAAACTAAACCAACCTTGTCGATGGACTTAGGGACCATGAAATACCTCAACAATTGTTCATCATTTAATCACCTGGTGGTACTATGATGACTTCGTATAAATTGCAAGCATTTCTTGTCCTAGTAACACCAAGTGTCCATACAAACAATTTGTAGCTATGTTGCACTAATCTTTTGGATATATTATGTGTTCCACACAAATTAACCAAGCAACATAATTAACAACATACATACATACCTGAACAAAGAGAAAGGAATTTGGGAATGCAACTTGGTGCAACTGGATTAAGGAATGTTCCTCTCAAGTGGCTCAATAATGCAATTGAGCCAAGCTGTGCTTTAGCATTTTGGTTGGTTTAAATTCAACTTGACTTTGAGACAAAATTTAAAGCTCTTTCTTTAGAAAACTTATCGAATTTGAAAAGTTTGAACTCATCATGACCTCAATGGATCCAAATCCAAGCTCTTCTCAAGCTTGAATATCATAAGCATATAAAATATAATTTGATAGATAACACCATAACTCCTTAAACCTTAGGGTAAATGTCAATTGGGTGACTGAACTAAATTGTGCAGAGAACTCCATGTATTAATGTGTTGATCTAGTCTTATTGTCAACTTGTATTCATAAGACGTAACAAAAGCTAATACAGCTGCATGATAAGAATTGACTTGCCAATCTGGTTATCTGCATCCAACTTGTACAATGTGCTATGTGTGGTTCGGAAACCTCATAGGACAACTTGAACTACTTCCATTGATTTGTCAACCTATATGAGCATGATGGATAACCTTTTTCACTGTCATTTATGTCAGGTTGACAATCAAATCCTGCCATCGAACTAGATCAACTTCCTATCACGGTTTATAGATGAAAATTAGTGGTCAGACTTAATTGAAGCATTAAGTATAGTTTAAACAGGTGGTCTTAGTTAATCCTTACAGGCCAATTGATATATGCCCAATTTCAAAGATCAGTGATGTAGTTACCAATAGGATCAGTTTGATTCGTCTGACGATTACAACATGGATTTCAAGGTTATTAAAATCGTTCATGCCCACCATTATAGCTGAAGCAAATTATACATGCAAAACATAGATATATAATTAACCAAAATATTTATTGGAGAGAGCAGATAACAACTGAAATATATTGGAAATATCACTTAACCAAAATGGAAAACAAAATCACCTTCTATCTTTGTGGTATTAGACGAGCAATCAACTTGTCTTGCAGGCCCTCTTCCGCAGCCAAAGAAGTTCTTAGATCCAGAGGTTGAACTCCCCATGCACTGGATGTTACCAATCTCACAGTGTCGAACACCCTGACCATTAAATGCACCATTTTCTCCAATGTTCTTTCCTTGCATCCCTGGATGGAGGCAGGAAACCTGATCGTCACAACGGAAACCACATGAGTTTAGAACCTGGGCATCACCCAGCAGGTTTGCTTGGAACGCATTGGAACCAATATCTCCACTCCCTTTCACCGGTTTCTGATAAGGAAAAGTTCCGATCTCTCCTTCAATCCTCCCCCTTAGATCTACAAGCAAGCATCTCAGCCTTGCAACCTCAGCTTCGAGGGCAGCTTGGTTCTGAAGTCTCTTCACCAGTTGCTGATTAATCAATCTTAGTTGAGCAATCTCCTCCTCCAGAGACGCCGCATGAGCTTTCTTCTTCTCCCTGTACTTCCGAACAGCTTCTCGATTACCGCAAGACCTTTTCTTTGTCGAAGAATTCTTCTCCACAGACTCGGCAGTCTCATCCGCCGCAGCAGTGAGAATTTTGGTGTGGACATGGAGGCAAGTATGGGTGTGAGAGAGGTCAGGCCCGGGAGGGTTGCAAGTGTGGGTATGGGTGCATGAATGCTGCTGGCTCTCGTTGAAGATGTTGTCGAAGAAACTATCCATTGAGCAGCTACTTGGAAGATCTTCACCAGCACTCGGGCCAGAGAAGACCTCCGGATTAGAGAAATCGACGTCCCCTTCGTCCATAATCAAGAGCGAAAGCTAACCAAGTGTCGATTTCGCGAAGGAATTCAATGGCCAGCGATCGATAGCTGTTACAAAAGACGACAATTTTCAGATTCCAGACAAACACAATAAGGATCTCAACCAGCAGCGCACAAAGGAAAGCCGAGAAACCAGAACACCGGAAATACAAGATCAAGTAGAAACATCATCCAATGCGAGGAACGTCGACACATGGCCACACCAATCACGAAAGTCGCGGAGCAAAGAAACGATTTTTAACCAAGACCAAGAGCAAAAAGCAAGGAATCGAATCAGGAAAAGCCACCAGAGAACCTCAAAATCGAAGATTTTGCTGATGAAGCAGGGAAAGCGACTCGATCTCCGTTGCAGCAGAAGAACAGGACCAAGCAATCCCAGATCCAACCGAGAGGGTGCGCTCCAAATCCCCTAACCCTAAAGGAGCAAAGACATCGACAGAAAGAACAGACAACACGAAGCTACTCCCAGTTATCGCGATCCACACATCGATCGATGGGAAACAAACGAGAGGGCGAGCGGAAACGAAGCCACAGATGCCACGCCGCTTGCTTTATACGAATCTCTGAAAGGACGGTTCGATCAATCTTAACCGTCCAAGGCTCCGATTGTTGGAAACGTGAGATCAAATCTCGAGCGTCCGATGTAGAGGGGACGGTGGAGGATTTTGATTCCGCGTCAGCGAAACGGGCTTGATACTGATGCGAGAGTGAACTCCGCAGCACAGCCACAGACGACAAGAATCTATTTCGACACCCCAAAAAGAGAACACAGATTTGAGGCCATGGAAAAGAGCTGCAAATAGCTCACTGCAACAAACATGCAAAGACATGCAGCATCAAATGCACTAAGACAGATGCACGGCAAGCCATCTTGCAGATCCTAATCACTACACAAATCTATAGTAACACGAGTAATTGAGGTAAAAAAAACACCAAGTACAACATGTCTGCAAGTCAAACAGACTTCGAATATTTACCCAAACATCAGATGTGCATAGGAGGTTACATGATTGATAAATCTGCGACAGATCATAAGAGAGAAATGAAACCGATAACCTGAAGCTTCCATGACTTGCTGTAGGTAGATTACATATTTCTTGTTCATGTGCATAGTATTCACATGATGAAGCAACCCTTCTGCGACTTCCTTTTCTTCTTCTTCTGCTTGGGTGGTTGAAGTACCACTTTGATGGCCGCGTCAAAAACTCCCTTGACATTCTGCACAGTGAATTTGGCATGACGGTGGATATTGATGAGCAAGATATCATTATAAGCTTTAAATGTATGGTGCAGAGGAAGAACATACTTGCTGGGTCTTTGAACTGCATTCGATGTAGGCAGGAGCACCAATTACCTTCCTCAACTCTTCCCCCTTGAACCGTCCGAGAATTACCATAAGCAATTCGGCAAGGTGATATGGTACAGTAGAAGGAAAAAAGAAACAACAATTCAGGCTGCAGAATTTGCAGCAACTTGTACCTGTGCGGTGCTTATTGGTACAGCACTAGGGTGATCTACAAAAAATTGCGTGTCATCCCGGAGATCTGCCAGCAAAGCCAAGCACAATTATTTGCAACAAACAAAAAAGCCAAAATCCACCGAACATGATCAAGTTAGGATTATAATAGTGTGAGCAAAAAATAAACTACAGGAGAATGACTAACCAAGCAACATTCTTTAACACAAATTCCCTGACTCGTAAGTCATAAGAAAGTGTTAAAAGCTGATCTTATAAATCTGTCAACAGTCAAAATGCCTGACAAAATAGGTGAACCTGTATGCCATTCCACCATCCAAAGACCGGTACGTATACAATGCTGAGAAACACAAAGTCTAACTGAACACCCTTGATTCTGAAGTTTCAGAATACATGTAACATGCACTTACAACGACTTGATTAGTCAAGAAAACCTACCTTGGGCTAGTGGGACTAGACTAAGAAGTGCAACCAATTCTATATTTCCTAACTTTTAGAGCCCCAAGGGGATCCAAGAGCCAAAAATCTTTACCTACAGAACCGTGCACGAGAAGCTCCAAACGTCCAAATTAAACAAATATCTCTTGGTTTATGTATTTCTTCAGAATCTAGATATGAGATCCAGCATCTTTACAAACCTCTTATTATAATCATTGTCTTTATGAATAATGTAAAACATAATAAACAATTAGTAAATCGCATGGTTACTTCTGTTGATGCAAACCTTCAACATGAATAGGCACCATTGTGCATCCAACTCCGGAACTAGAAGCAATAGGATCTTCAAGTTTCCAACAAAGCTGGAGCCATTTGCAAACTCAAAAGCAGTATATCAAAGACCAATACACACCCATTTAACAGGATTTTTCACTAGTGGGATAATATCTTGAATTATTTCTCATTGCTCTCGCATATTTTAAGTAAAATATGATGAGCATAAAACAACAACCATAGTGCTTCAAAGTGTTACTAAATTGTTCAGTGTTCAGTGGAAATCTCTCGGAAACCCAACATCACCAGCATAATCTCCCCTCTTCAGTCGTCACCGGAGTTAGTTGTGCAACATCATGTAATTCTAGTCATATCTATCACATTAATATCTCAACTGTCTCTGATATGATTACCCAAAATGCTTATTCTTATTGCCTCAGAATTCAGAATTTGACCGAGCATTGGTCCACATACCTTGCTTTTATACACTTGATCAGCAATGAAACCAGTTATCTTATTTCATGTGAAAAAATAACATTCTGCCAGTAATGAATCAGGTTTCATTATTGACTTTCCACGAATGGATCATGTAAATAGATTACTTTCTGCTAGGAAGAACTTGAGTTCTATAATTAATTTTTCCACAAAAACATTATTCAAATGCTCCTCATGCTCATAACCTAAAATGCTTTTCTCCAAGATGCCAGCTACACATTGAACAATAGCTGCCTTCAAACTTCAATATGAACAACTATCCTTCTATAATCAATAACTGTTGATGCCAAATGGTGACGGTGGATAAAGTTTTGTTGAGGAACTTGTTTGCTCAATGAATGACATATTTCCATGTTGGCAAAATCTTCACATTCACGGTTCCATCATTGTACCTATAATAATTCCGAACTCTAAAAATAGGAAACCAGACCAAAATCAAAGATGGCCATTAAGATGCTTGGCATGGTAAGTTAAAATTTGACCTGTTCTGGAGTCAGTTTGAGTTCAACATAAGCATATTCTTCATTGATTGTAAGCTTTAAACCAACACAGCCTGACCTAGATAACCTGCTCACCCGAAATAAAGCAAAGCTTACCTTAACCTGCCCACTTCACCTGATCTGATCTAATCTATTGAATAGGTTAACCTCCCTTGAAATACAGCAAAGCTTTCCTTAACCTGCCCACTTCACCTGACCTGATTTAATCAATTAAATAGGTTGTTCCAAGATAAAGAGATCCTGACAGCTGGTGTGTTAGGTTGAAAGCTAATAGGATTGTGCTTGGAATAACCCATTATACTCTTATTATATGTATCTGAAGATGCAATGAATGAAACTTTTTTCATGAAACAAAGAGAAGATTGTAGCACTGAAGCATGTGTTAATTGTACGGGGATTTCAGTAGAAGAAAAAATTATTTACCATAACTAAGGTAAAATTGGAAGGCATTCAAAGCTTAGACAGAACAATAACTTACAAACCTTACAAGTAATTGAATATAAAACAAAAGTTAACAATTAAGTAAAACTAACATGCATAGAACTCAGGCAAAAACCTTCACTCCTTGTTTTATCTAAATCTGGCTGTACAGGAAGATGGTATATGTGCAATACCAAATTGAATCATCAGTATTAGAGCAAAGACACTGCTTTCTCCAGTGTTGTATGGAGAGAAAACAAATAGTGAACTGGAACAAGGAAAGTCAATCGGATACTTATTGAGTGATATTCGCAGCCATGGGAGATATACATGAGCATTAGCCACTACAAGTTCTTTCCAGTTAGCAAGAATGCAGAAGAACCATGCCATTGTTACTTACCTTTAACCATTCCAGGAAAGAATAGAATACAATATATGACATCATAAGCTTTTGAATCTAACCCATACATATATACAAGCTACCTTGTTTATGAAAAGGGCAATTAAAAGGCTAAAATAGATTATTCTGGACATCATCAAAATGTACTTGCTATAGTCAAGTACAAGGTTTAGATAACAGTACTGAAAACCGGATCGGAATCATATTACACTCATACATAACAAGCGATATGGTATAGCAAAGCATCAGTGAACTAGTAAAATAAACAAAAAAAGGTTAACTGTCAATACCACCAAGAATGGTCAGTACACAACTATATGGATTCAAGATTTGATATTGAATGGTCAATTATACGTGGTTATAATGGAATCATAACATGGACTTTTGATGTTTCTATGTTTTCATTTGAATGCTCTTGGCACTATGTGATGCAACAACATAATCATAGCAATAAAAATATCAACAACTTCATGTGTGAATACGTATTACCTGCTTCACACAATAAAAATTTAAAAGACAGTATAACATGTATCTGATATTGATATATGTATTGGTATAGCCATAAAATTGACCGAAAAGATCAAAGTCAAAATAATTACCAAGCTTTGTTCCAACAAGAACTATGGGCACACCAGGCGCATAGTGCTTCAATTCAGGAATCCACTAAAAGGTGAAAAAGGAACAAACCAGATAAGGAAAAGTGGAGAAGTAGTGAGTCGGCAGAGTAAACCAAGTTTGACAAAGCAGAAATTAATATTCATGAAAGACAAGGGATCAATCTCTTGCCTTCTTAGCCACATTCTCATAGCTGGCTTTACTTATGAGAGAGAAGGCCAGCAGAAAAACATCTGCACCCCGGTAGCTCAAAGGCCTTAGTCTGTTGTAGTCCTCCTGGCCTGATCCAATAAAGAATAACATCACATCGAGTGCATTATAATGCAAATGAGGGCCTTATTACAGAAGTAAAAAGTATGAAACAGGTAATCAAGCAAAAGAAAATGCAAAACATTACCTGCAGTATCCCACAAACCTAAATTAACTGTGTTGCCATCGACCACTACATTTGCACTGAAATTGTCAAAGACCGTCGGGACATAATCCTGTCATCATAAAAATAGAACTTATATCTAAGATTTACAAAAAAGAACCATAACCACATTTATCTCTCTAAGCTATAACCAACAGCAAAAAGTTTATAGGGAAATTAAAATTATGTCCAAATTAAATGAACTTCATAGGACCAGATGCTTCAAAATGTTGGCATGTGGAATATCATATCCAGGACCAGGAAGAAAAGAACTAGGCTCATGTCTGAAAGCAATTACGAAAGATGGTTCTTTGGTGCATGATGCATAGCTCCACAAATCCAAATTGATGCTGAGGCTTCGTACAAAGCATTGTCTCGGATTCGACACTCGTGAAACTCGATCTACAAACATCTCACTAAAATATGACCTGTCTGGACATGACTGACATGCTCTCCAATAAAATGGAGTTAGGAGATTGTGCTGCAGAAACACAAAATCCACGAACC